TTTGTGGTTCTGAAATAGTAGACTTGGACTTTACCCTGGGATGATCTAATGTGGTGGTTCCCAATCACCACACCATGGCTTGGCAGATGCATTTGGCTTTCCCTGATGGGTTTGCCAACACATACATGTCCTGGTAGATCATTCTAATCAAGATCCATCCATCAGGCATCTTCAGGAGGCCAAACAGAGTGAGGGCTCCACATGTAATGTAAGGGTATCAACAGTTAAATAAGCAAGTCAAGAAAAGTAAAGGCAAAAGTGCAATCCAAGAATTCATCCCCCTTTCCTAGTTCTGGGCAATGGCAACCTGGAGTTTTATGTCTCTAATGTCACCAAGTTAAAATAAACTTGGTAACCAATAAACTATAGGCTTGTGATAGTATGATGTAGAAACAAGGAAGGTTAAGGGTTAAGGCAGCGCAAAGTGCTGCAACCATAACACACAGATGTTGTTGACTAGTGCCCACAACTTAATCACCTCCAGATATTATTAGCTCAGCCTTTATCACTAATGGATAAAGGGTGGAAGAGGCTTTGTCATTGACAGTTGTTACTTTGTTTGCATCATACACAATTAGTAATTAAGGTGAAAAGCATATCCGCCAAATAAACTTCAGACTCTTTTTCTGACCTTTTAATTAGTGCCATCTGCACTTGACCTACTATTGATTTTTGCACCAACTGTGCTGTCCCCCTAACTGACCAAAAGGGCTGGCCAATTGCCACCCCTCTGATAATAATATCTGACCTCATAGAGCGTGCTACCATATCACAGAATGTGAAGTGTGGGTTTTAATAGTAGATTTAATAAATGATAATACCCTGAGGCAGGGTTGGGAAAACACTCCCCAAGCTCCAAAGTGCTGGAGCTTGGGCTATAAATAATGATTCTGAATCTCCAAAGGGTTGTGGCCCTGCTGGCTACTCCATAGTTTGCCGCTTCACCTATTGGCCCTCCAGGATATGAAACATAATAAATCAAAAAGTTATAGAACAATAGGTTGTCTAGGTCATGGGACATTTAGACCATCAGCTGGTGGGAAATCTGCCGGTGGTGCATAATTGAATTGTTTAAATTCCGAAGGCCTCAGTCTTTTATCCTGGCCCTTGTAGTCAACTCCATTTGGTATCATTGACATTATGTAATAGAGTCGACCCTCAGGAATCTTCAGGAGGTCAAATACATATCTGGGCTCCACAAGAAATATGGGTCAGATGGCCGAGCGGTCTAAGGCGCTACGTTCAGGTCGTAGTCTACTCTTGTAGGCGTGGGTTCGAATCCCACTCTGACCATATTATTTTGCACATGTCAGGGCTTGTATCATTGCAAAGGTTCTGGACTCTTTTATACAAAGTTAAGCACTATATATGAAATGATGAGTAGATCTTTGAAGTATTATTTATCATTTAATTTTTTTCACATTTGCATCACCAGCTACAACAGAAGTCAATTCCCTTTATCAATATTTCATATTGTATTGTAATTATATGGCCAATCTCACTAAGTGATATCACCTTGGCTCTACCTTGTTCTCTATTCTCTACACTGACATACATAATTATAAGGCCCCTCTTGCCACATATAAGGAACTGAAGTCAATATTCCTAAAGAACAAAGCATCTACTAAGTATATTACTTCCAATTTAGAATTGTGCCTACCACTGAGGGATATATACACAATTTCATTGTAGGTTGATGGTTAGGGTATGCTGATATTAGGCCCAAGTCTAATACCATAACCAAAGGGCTATTCTACTATCACAGAATTTATGGTTCTGAAGTAGTAGACTTGGACTTTACCTTAGGATAATCTAATGTGGTGGCTCCCAATCACCACAGACACAAAACCATTAGGTGTAGTTAGGGGGGCCAGGTTCTGTTACTTCCTTCATGATGAGGAGCCTGGGTTCTAGCCAAATCAACTTCCAATATTGCAGGCCATGGTCTTCTCTGTTGGACTCACATAGTCAAGTGTAATGGGAATCCACTGTTTGTGGTTATGGAAGACTATAGTCCTGAAGACCATGGCCTTGACTAGGAGGTCTCCAGGCTGGTCCATCAGTTACAGAGTTACTACCCTTTAACAACTCACACTTTGTCACTGCTACACCCCTTACTAATATTCTACACACCTAGGCTATGCTCCACCAAGTTACAAACAGGCTGAGGTATAGTATACCAAAGTGCAGGAAAATAAGTCAGCCCAGGCTCAATAAACACAATACTGACAAAACCTCCCTTACTGCCAGCTGCAGACATGCAGGAGGCCACATCATGACTGTAAACAACAACAGGGGACCTTGCAAGTAATAGCATCTCCACACTAGAGGTATATTGGCTCCTTATCATTAACCATTGACCTGACTAGATGACTCATAGTTATTCAGAAAGTCACCACAACTCAACCAATCAACCCAAGACCACATTGGAATAGAACACACCATCTGGTTATATAAGCCAACATCAACAGCCAGCTCTATCTAATGTGTTGCATCTAAGGCAGGAATACTGAATATGATAAAAGGTTAAAAACTGGAAGGGGGGTTCTACCCAGGAGAAAATAAGTATGGTGATGCATCCATATAGGGAGAAAAGGATAGAGAAAGCAAAGTGGTCAAAGATGGGTGCCCCCTCTATACCCATGTGGGGGGGATGTCAATCCTTGGAGTGTTATTGAGTTGTTGGGAGGCACTATGGGTGCAGAGGTGACAGGGTTCAACCTGCTGCACAACATTAGCTTGGAGGGTCCTAACCAACCACAGATATCTCCCAGACTGCTTAATATGAACTTCATAATATCTTGGTAAATTTTCCCTTTTTGGATTTTTTTTGGTGGCAATCTGCTTTCCTCAAAATCAGATGATAGGGCCAGGTTAAGAATATCAGTGGCAGCATGCTTAAACAAGTGTTGTATAACGAGTAAATAAGGCAGGCAGCCCATTGGCTACTAGAATAAAAATATGACCCAGCTCGGGGTCGAACCGAGGACTTTTCCCTCCGGAGGGGAACGCTCTTTCCACTGAGCTACAGGGCCTTGTGGATGTGTGGTACCGACACCCGGTTTGGCTCTTGAAGGAATCAGATGAGCATGTCAACATTGGGAAAGCAAAAACATTAGCCAAGCCCTCTGTGGGGAAGGCTAGGAGTAAGTTTTAAGGTTACGCGCCTTATGCAGGGGGATGCAGATACTTTCCCCACTCACCAGTATAAAAGCAAGCTTGCGCAGTTAGGCAAGGGCTTTCCAGCTATTTTTTTCCATTCTATTTTTTGATTCCTTCTAGTAAAAGCTTTTATTCATTATTTTGTGTCAAAAAACAAATCTCAGAACAATCCCATACTATTTAATTTTTTCCACTAACATAAACAACCCACCACCTTGCTGTTAGGTCCAGACCATCATTGCATACAGCCTAACCAAAGGACTCCGTCCAGAGCCCAGCATCACAGATGCTGTGAAGTCAAGCATGGCTTCTTGCTTTGAGGAGCTGTAATAGGCCGCACCTTTACAATTGTTAAAAGAAAAGAAAGAAAAGAGACTGGGAAACCTCTGGGAGAGGCCTGGAAGAGACAGGGGACCAGCCAGGTCCTCCACCAATTAGCACAGATCATTTATTATAGTCATAGTATGTACATTGGGCCCAAGTATTCAACACAGGGTCTGTGAGGTGATTGGGAACCACCACATTAGATTGTCCCAGGGTAAAGTCCAAGTCTACTATTTCAGAACCATAAATTCTGTGATAGTAGAATAGCCTTTTGGTTATGGTATTAGACTTGGGCCTAATATCAACACAGCCCTCATCACAGCTTAGTGGTGCCAACACTGGCTTTGCCTCTTAAAGGGAACTAGAGGGCATCCAATACCCCAAACGTGCAAACAAGGGCCAAACCCCTATAGGGGGAAAGGCCATTGTAAGTTTTAAGGTTACATGCAAGATGCAGGGGGATATAGATCCTTTCTTTGCACACAAGTATTAGAAGTAAGTTTGTGCAGGTAAGCAAGAGCTCACTGGTTAGTTTTTGGGGTTCATTTTTTATTATCTTAGTATATTTTCCTTTATTTATTTCTACTAGTTGGGATGCCATTGTGGTCCCATACTATTTGCCTTAACAGACCAAGTAAATAAGACTACCCTTGCCTGTTTGCCATTGCACCCAGACCATTGTTGTGTATGGTCCAATCAAAGTACCTTCTCCCATGGCCTGGCACCACACTGGTGGATATTATGTAGGTGTTGAAATGGTTTATCAAAAATGGTTAGCCAGTAGCAAGGAAACCACTGTAAAATGAGTATCCTAGAGTTTTCCCCCTTCCTAGTTCTAGGTGACAGTGACCTGGGGCTATATGTCTCTAAGGTCACCAAAGTTAAAGTAAACTCCAATAGAAAATAAACTATAAACTATGAGAACATGATGCTAATCAGGGAAAGTTAAAGGTAAAGTCAGTGCAGAGTGCTGCCACCATCACAATGTTTTACCTTGTTGATAAACAGAGTTGAGTTCAGATAATAAAGGGCTATAAAAGGGTATAGTTTCTCAGAAAAGTGGTGTTGTTTTATTACTAGGTGCAACAGGAACAATATATATATACTAGATAATAGACTACTGTCAGATGGTGGATTCTACTACCAATGGGGTTGTTGTTATGTTACCACCATTGGCAGTAGCTATAGTGAGAGAGCTAAAAGAAAACCCTTCTGGTGGCCACTGGCATTAATAAAATATTGGAAATGGCTGAACTGGACTAAGGTACCCAGCTAATAGCTTATTAGTCCTGGCTTACAACAAAAATGTAATAGGATAAGGGTGTTGGAATGTCCTGGTTAGACTGCACTTTGGAAACATGACAATTGGAATACAATGTAAAAGCCAAATGCAGCTCCTGGAAGAGAAAACAGGCCTAGAATTTTCTCATGTTCAAATACTACTGGAGACACGCCCTTGTGCATGTAAGCTGGGTTGCTTATATAAAATATTGAGTTTAAAAAACAACATTGTCATAGGTAAGTAGGCTATGTGATAATCAGAAGCTTGGATCCCTATAAAAGGGCAATACCTTAAAGTGGTGATCTTTAGTTGGCCCATCTCACAAAATATCGGGGTTGCATGGTGTAGAGGTTATCACTCGGGATTTTGATTCCCGCAACCCGAGTTCGAATCTCGGTGCGACCTATATTTTTTTTCTTTCTTCGACATCGGATTTGAGTTCGCTATCGCCACAGTATCAGTGTTCCACACATGTCCCCCAACTGGATACTTGCGTACCAGGCCACTGGCAGAAGCTTGCCTTCTTTTTCATACCACAGTAAAGGCGAATATCCTTATTGCGAAGCCACTAAGCCATTGGTTCTAGTGCGAATCGTTGCCGACCAGAAGCTTCGCTGGTGGGTGCTGTACCCTTATTCTTCAGCTTTCAAGGGGTCTTGGTCCGTCGTCCACGAATCGCCGGTACTCTCAGACGGAGTGGCTGACATTCTCAATAGCGAAGCCCCCTTTCTATTCACAATGTCAAAGGAAGATTCTTCCTACCTGCCTTGGGTCGAAATGCATCGTGGCGTCTCGGATGCCATGAATCTCGGCGTAGCTGTCGGCTCGACGAACGTTCCGATCTCCTGTCAAGGTATTGGTCCAACCATCCCAAGCAGCCAGGTAAGGGGCCAGCATGAGCCGCTGTGTATAGCCCGATGGGATGAGTCAACCGGTGCTAATACACATTACTCAACGCCCAACACGATGACGAAGAAAGTTAATATCCTCGGTTGGTAGGTGTATAGTGAATGGCCCATCGGCCCGATAGCTTATTGTACATAGGTCTTGGTTCATCGTATACGTACGTCCTTTGCAACACTCTTGTTACAGACAACGCCCGAGCCGACCCCCGGCCTGTATCATTTATCCGAGTCGGACGAGAATAATCTAAATGCCAACGCTACTGCCAAGGTGCTCACCTGGAATATTCCTGGTGATTCCGGGGCACTTGAGGTTAGGCAAACGTACCAGGGTGAGCGCGGACTTTATGCGCGGCGGCCTTTAAAGCCAGGTAAGATTTCCTAGTGGTTAACGTATTAAGAACACTTACCCAGAGTAGTCAAGCTCTTTTAAACTAGCGCCACTTTTTCCCAATATTATTGGGTTGTGATTGACTGCATGGCCAGGCTTACCAGTAGATGCTGACCGCCTGAACTACGTTTCTGCTGCTGTATCGTTTAACCACGCCAGGCCACCTCTTACACGATGAGCCCATGAAGGCCCTGGTCCTCCAGGAAGATATTCTTGACCAACGTTGCAGTTTTTGCGGTGTAGACAACTGCAAACTACTACGGTGCTCCGCATGCAAAATAATCCACTACTGCCAAAAGGTATGTAATCTAGTATATTTAGATTAGCCCCCATTCACCCCCCTTCTTTTTCTAACCCACGGCCCATAGCCCGTGGTAACAAGCGATACCTGGATTTCGGTCAAACTGACGCGCTCTTCCCTCCAATTGATCATCACGGCTTACTGTCTGCAGAGTTGTCAGACCCAAGATTGGCCGAGTCACCGTGGCGAATGCGCCTTCTTAAAGGCAGGCGGCAAATCCGTACCTGTACCCACCCGGCTCCTCTGTCGCATTTTAACCGACAGGAAGCACATACCGCCATTGGTAAGATTTAGCTGGTAACTACTTTACTGGTGCTTACAGCGCCTTGATTCAACCGGCGTGGGACTCAAACTGCTGCGATGTCTGATTGCTCATATCTGGCCTCCATATTTTTACTGTTTTGAATGATTCACTTTGCCTTGCCTGGGAAAATGTAGCTCGACAGCCTGGAGCCGCTACATGACAGTAAGTGAGGGGAGGAACAGGATATTGACACCGAAAAAACCACACTTCCCTTCATGACTAGCACGGGTAACCTGCCTACGATTCGAGGCCTACGTGTGTCAAAGAGACTTTACATGGATCAATTTGTATTGGTAGCACGCCGTAGGCCCTTCGTGTCGGTGACAGCCGACCCACGAATTGCTCACTCCGAGGGTAACTAACGGACCACGCCTGATTTCTCGCCCGCACCGACCATTCTACCGAAATAACCGCCCAGATCTGGCTCGGCAGCCCTCTGAGCTTGTGGAACAAGTGAAGGAACAACTCGGAGCGGCGATGCAGTATCTGGTCAGTGCTGATTCGAGCATAACCTTGGATCAGGTCGTCAAGTATTATTTCAAAGTAAGCCGGCATTTCCCGACCCCTAAACTTTACAACCAAGCTCGCCAACCGGGTGTGGTTGTGGCGGGTTACCAAGATAACAATGTTACGTAACTGAAGAACACCCAATCTGACCCGTTTTCGCTCCACCGACCACGCCACCTCCCTATACTATCTGCCGGCGGCCACATGCGCGCCCTATTTTGTGCACCTGGTGTAGATCACCACCAACGGGTTCGGCTGGACTGACTACGACCTTATCGCCTTCGGCACCGCATTTTTACCGACTCTGGCCCTCCTCAACCACAGCTGCGAACCGAATTGTGCGGTGGTGTGCCACGGACGCCGGGCCACACTGCGAGCCCTTAAACCTATCAATGTGGGCGATGAGGTAAGGAACCCAGAACCTCCACATTGGGGCGGTTTGACGCTAGGACGATCCAGTCACCACAGCTCGTCGCCGAAAGGGGCGGCGGAGAGGAGATGAGTGGATAATACCCCCTAACCGATGCCATCGGTCCTTTAACCTGGGCGTGTCGTTTGTTATACTGCATCCCGCTATGCGTCCCCCCCTTCCGCTCATAGTTGACCATCTGTTACGCAGTCCAGACCGAGCCGACACCTTGGCGACGGGAGTACCTGAAGGAAGTGTACCACTTCCATTGCCGCTGTCCGCTGTGTGCTGCTAGAGCTGTAAGTGGAAAAAAAAGCAACACCCAGGAACCCCGGGCGATGTGACAAAAGGGCCACTTTGGCAAGCGTCGCAAGCTTACTTTCCGGACTGGCTGGGCTGTAACCTGACGGTGAGCCTGGCGATGCGAACCATGCAGCTGAATCAACGTATCAGCTCACTTAATCCTTCAGCACATCGCCTCTCCGTATTTTTATACCAAGTATGACATCCTCAAGACCTCGTTCCGCTGTCCAAACCACAACGATCTCGATGGACCGCTGCCGGTAGATATTAGACGTAAGAACCACCATAGTCCCTCCCCATACATAATCAGTACCGCCGTTCATGGACGAGCTGTGCCTAAGTTAACGACATAAATCTACCAGACCGCCCTGCCACGTTTGACGCCCTTCTGTCGTGCGCATAGGGTTCAGGTGAATCCTACACAGGCCATCTAACGGGCACCTACCCTCATCTTGATCACAAATTGACTTAACAGGTCACGGGCTCCACTGTCCTGAATCCTATGTTATCCAGCGATGTACCATCTGCGGCAATCAGCCCACCCTGGAAAACCTGATGGACCGAGAAGAATGGCTGGGGGTCTTGAACATGCTTAGGTCAAAAAGATGGGCTAATACCACCGCTGGTAAGTTTGGACTGGGCGGCCAGCAGTTGCCGGTGAGCCAAAGGGGCGATACCAGATGCGATCGTGTTCGAACTGCATCATGCAGATATACGCTGCTCCTGACGCTCGTGCCACGTGTAGTCGACTAATGAATGACTTCATTGCACCGCCAATATGCATTCCCTCTATGACGCACCATACCGCCCGGCCGGTTGAACATTATATTCTCGCCAACCTACCTCGCGTGAGTGATTCAGAGGAATGGCTACGATGGGCGCGTATAATCTGGCGAGGCGTGTCTCGTTTTACCCTATCTACTCACCATCTTCAGCTTGACGCCGCAAATACTTTGTTGCACGCGTTGGCGACGAACCTGACCCCCGGTGCTCCTGCTCTGCAGCATGAGGCGCTGGCAGTTGCGGGCAAGCTCGACACTGCCTTGCGTGCCGTGCTCCCGTGCGAATCACCGCTGCACGCAGCCCACGCCTACTTGACGATGCGGCTCATGCTGTCCGGTAGCCAGTCTCTGGATGACTCGCGGGTGGAATTAATCCGGCAATCCCTACCACGCTTTGAAGTCATCTACGGGCTCAATAGTCGGCCCTGTCGCGAGGCGAACGAGGCACTGATGGAGTATCGCATGCTTGGTATATCGCTAGGCCGATGAACGCGAACGTACCTCGGCGTGAGTCTAACAGAAGGCCCACGGACTGAAACCGAAGGGCCCGCCGCGCGAGAGGCCTCTTGACCCAAGGCCGTAGCCTTCCCTATCAGGGAGGAGGAGCGGAAACCAAGTCCCCTCCCCACTACACTAAACGATTTCTCGTTATGCGCAAACGCACGTATTGCAAGCGTATGAACTGTCTAGTCGTTAAGTGTGTAATAAATTCATCTTTCAGCTTAGTTCACTCGTCATTTGACACCCCCGTGATCTTCACTGCCCATGCGCCCTCTCCCCCCCCCGGGCGGCGCACCCCGTCATAAGGCCAAACTACAGACTGAAATTCAGCATTGCTGTTCGCGTAAGTGTGGTGATTGTCAGGACGTGGCCTAGATCACCTAAGCGACACGAACCTCACCGGGCCAAACAGCAACTGTCAGGTAGGAGTTGGTGAGTCTAACGCGTGGTTGGGATGCCAACTACCAGTGGGTGGCCAACCAGGTACGAGGTACGGGTGGCGTTAACTGTGGGTGGTAAAAGCAGCAGGGTATGCATTAGTTCGTCCTATACCTTGGAAACGTTGTGCATGGACAGTGACGAAGCGGAGGATCGTCAAAAGTAACACTGGTAGATCGGCGACGCGTCGGTAAACCATACCAGCAACCACGGTACCTACCCTTTACTTTGCCTTGGACTATACTTCCCCATAGCCTATTATTTTATTGGCCAGAGTATCCCGCTTTCCATACCAAGGTACGCCAGCGGGGGGCGACGGGTATCGGAAGTATTCTCACATGAACGGAAAACTCTCCCTAGAACTCCTCTCCTTTATAAAGGGGGCGGGGGGGGGGAAAGGTGGAATCAGGCCATTACCACGGTAAAGTGTGCTACTGCAGCACACCCCAGCTGGATTAAGCAAACCCATCGGCCATTAAACCACCAAAAAAAACCCTCGCTTCACAATTTTGTGTACTAGGCTTGGCAAGTTTAATTACTTTGGTAGTAAAAAGCGAGAGATGATGA